GGAGGCTCCAAGCGGCGGCTGGACGCTCCAGAGGGCGGCGGCGGGACGAGCCCCGGTGGCCGCAGTAGCGTGTTCGAGCTGCAAGTGGCGGACACCCCGGACGGCGAGAAGCAACCGCAGCTGATCGTGAAGGGGGCGCTGGACCGCGAGCAGCGCGACTCCTATGAGCTGACCCTGCGGGTGCGTGACGGCGGTGACCCGCCTCGTTCCTCGCAGGCCATCCTGCGGGTGCTCATCACGGACGTAAACGACAACAGCCCCCGCTTTGAGAAGAGCGTGTACGAGGCTGACCTGGCTGAGAACAGCGCCCCGGGGACCCCCATCCTACAGTTGCGCGCCGCCGACTTGGACGTGGGGGTCAACGGGCAGATCGAGTACGTGTTTGGGGCGGCCACCGAGTCCGTGAGGAGGCTGCTGCGCCTCGACGAGACGTCTGGCTGGCTCAGTGTCCTTCACCGCATCGACCGCGAGGAGGTGAACCAGCTCCGCTTCACAGTCATGGCCCGCGACCGCGGACAGCCCCCGAAGACCGACAAGGCCACCGTGGTCCTCAATATCAAGGACGAGAACGACAACGTGCCGTCCATTGAAATCCGCAAGATCGGGCGCATCCCACTCAAGGACGGGGTAGCCAACGTGGCAGAGGACGTTCTGGTTGACACCCCCATCGCCCTGGTGCAGGTGTCCGACCGAGACCAAGGCGAGAACGGGGTGGTCACCTGCACCGTGGTGGGCGACGTGCCCTTCCAGCTCAAGCCAGCCAGTGACACAGAGGGCGACCAGAACAAGAAAAAGTACTTTTTGCACACCTCGGCCCCTCTGGACTATGAGACCACCCGGGAGTTCAACGTTGTCATAGTGGCGGTGGACTCAGGCAGCCCCAGCCTCTCCAGCAACAACTCTCTGGTTGTCAAGGTGGGAGACACCAACGACAACCCACCAGTCTTTGGCCAGTCGGTGGTGGAGGTTTACTTTCCCGAGAACAACATCCCTGGAGAGAGGGTGGCCACTGTGCTGGCGACAGACGCCGACAGCGGCAAGAACGCGGAGATTGCCTACTCGCTCGACTCGTCCGTGATGGGGATCTTTGCCATTGATCCCGATTCTGGGGATATCCTTGTCAATACGGTGCTGGACCGCGAGCAAACTGACAGGTATGAGTTTAAAGTTAACGCCAAAGACAAAGGCATCCCTGTGCTGCAGGGCAGCACCACAGTGATTGTGCAGGTGGCCGATAAAAATGACAATGACCCTAAGTTTATGCAGGACGTCTTTACCTTTTATGTGAAAGAAAACTTGCAACCCAACAGCCCAGTGGGGATGGTCACTGTGATGGATGCTGACAAGGGGCGGAATGCGGAAATGAGCCTGTACATAGAGGAGAACAGTAACATTTTTTCTATTGAAAATGACACGGGGACCATTTACTCCACAATGTCTTTTGACAGGGAACATCAGACCACATACACTTTCAGAGTCAAGGCTGTGGACGGGGGAGATCCTCCCAGGTCTGCCACAGCCACAGTTTCTCTCTTTGTGATGGATGAAAATGACAATGCTCCCACAGTTACCCTTCCCAGAAACATTTCCTACACTTTACTGCCACCTTCAAGTAATGTCAGGACAGTAGTAGCTACAGTGTTGGCAACAGACAGTGACGATGGCATCAATGCAGACCTGAACTACAGCATTGTGGGAGGGAATCCCTTCAAACTGTTTGAGATTGATTCCACCAGTGGTGTGGTTTCCTTAGTGGGAAAACTCACCCAAAAGCATTATGGGTTGCACAGGTTGGTGGTGCAAGTGAATGACAGTGGGCAGCCTTCCCAGTCCACCACGACTCTGGTGCATGTGTTTGTCAATGAAAGTGTTTCTAATGCAACTGTGATTGACTCCCAAATAGCCAGAAGTTTGCACACCCCTCTCACCCAGGATATAGCTGGTGACCCAAGCTATGAAATTAGCAAACAGAGACTCAGTATTGTCATTGGGGTGGTTGCTGGCATTATGACAGTGATTCTAATCATCTTAATTGTAGTGATGGCAAGGTACTGCAGGTCCAAAAATAAAAATGGCTATGAAGCTGGCAAAAAAGATCATGAAGACTTTTTTACACCTCAACAGCATGACAAATCTAAAAAGCCTAAAAAGGATAAGAAAAACAAAAAATCTAAGCAGCCTCTCTACAGCAGCATTGTCACTGTAGAAGCTTCCAAACCAAATGGACAGAGGTATGATAGTGTGAATGAGAAGCTTTCAGACAGTCCCAGCATGGGGCGATACAGATCGGTTAATGGTGGGCCAGGCAGTCCTGACCTGGCCAGGCATTACAAGTCTAGCTCCCCATTGCCTACTGTCCAGCTTCATCCCCAGTCACCGACTGCAGGAAAAAAACACCAGGCGGTACAAGACTTACCACCAGCCAACACATTTGTGGGAGCAGGAGACAACATTTCAATTGGATCAGATCACTGCTCTGAGTACAGCTGTCAAACCAATAACAAGTACAGCAAACAGGTAAGATGCATCCCAAATATATTTAAATATCCCAGAGAGGGGCAATCACTCTGAGACAGATCCTCTTCTGCAAAGTTTTATTTTGTCTTTTTTAAAGTTATTATTTAAAATTTTAATAGCAGGAATTTAATGTTAATTCATGCCCCATTAATTTAGCCTAGGCCGTATTTGAGAGGTACACCACTGTATTTTGCAAGTTAGATTTAATGTTCGTTGTTACTAAAGGGAATTTTCAAAGTAGGCAGTGTTTTTGCACTTCTCTTTGCACTTGATAGCCCTAATTCATTCTACATTTACTGTTTCCAAAAAAATATGTATATATTGTTTGGTTAGTTTTAACTTGAAATTATTTTCTTCTGTGAAATTGTTTTCTTTTGTGGCAACTAAGTGGATAATTGCATCCAGAGAGAAAATTTCTGAAGTTACTACTGGTGTCTATGCAAATTGGACAGTATAAAAGTTTTAGCTATGTTATACATAATGCAGTTTTACATTTAAGTGGATGCTGATTCATGCAAATGTAGTACTAAGTCTGAGATACTGAAAAACTGGCTGCTTTGACAAAAATGCTGGTTTAAACATATTTACTAATATGCAAATGTCATGCAAAACTACATCTTAAATACTTTACATCTATAACAATAGGTATTATAACAATTATGCCTCTATGATGATATGCCATCAGTACTTGCATTCTCCCTGTATGGCATTAAAAGTTTACAAACAAAAGTAAATTGAGCCATTTATTATTTAAGCCAAACAAAGAAAATGTTCACGATCAATGTGCTGTGTGCAAGACTATTTTAATGTGCATTGTGATAGACTGAGAATATAAAAGTTTTATGGAATATTTGGCACAGTAGTTTCTAGGTGAAATATGGGAACAATTTTAAAAATTATATTCTGAGAAGAGCTTCAGAAAATATAAAATTTAGTTTTGAAAGTTTGCTTCTGTGATATATATATATATCATACTCAGATAGTTTACTTTTTATACCCACCAAAGTTTGACACACAGCAAATGATACCTTTTGGAAACTGTTGTGTCTAATACTGCGGGAAACTGCTAATAAAACATTGCTATTTCTTACTGTCAGAATTCATCTGAAGAAACATATTTAATGACTGTCCAATAATATCACGTAATAGTTTTTCTATTAAATGTATTTTGCATGTGGAGTGTGTGATCTGAGAAAAATTGAGATGAAGGAAAAGATTATTTTATAGTCTCCTTAAAGATGGTATAGAAAAGAGACACTCATTCCTTACTGCTTTTATAATTATTAAAATTAGTTCCTTAAAGAAATATTTTCTATGTATGTATTACTTTACTGTAGCATTTTAATAAGGAGAAACAGACTTAATATGCTTTTTACATACAATAAAAAAAGCAGTTTAAGAAAATGCGGGTTTGAACTATTAAATGGCTTTTGAAAATATTTTGCATGTGAGTTTGAATTATTTATTTATTTTAAACCAACCAAAATTTGACAGTGGAGAGTTTGTATCTATTGTGTTATTGCTTTAACTGGAACTAGAAGCAGATTTTTTGTTTTGTTTTTGGTGCTTTTGTCAATTTTGTAAACAGGGAAGATTTCAGTTAAAATAATAGCACTTTTATAAGATTACTTATAAATACCCACAAATAAATTGAGATCTGGAGAAATTTCCTTAGAAAATGGTAATAGTTAATGCAAAAGAGTGTAAAGAGATCTTTCTGCAGAATATTTACTTCTTAGCCGTCATCCTAATAGTACTTTTGTCCTGTGGCTGAATGGCATTTGCATTCTAAATTGCGTAATCTTATGCTTTTGAGTGTACATATCCAGTGGCAGATTTATAGATATTTTATGCAAACTCCTCATATGTTCTGTGCTGTCACTTAAGCTTCACTTGGCTCATCAGATGGAGTTAGCTCTATATCTTTGAATATTTAAAACAGCCAATATCAAGACTGTTGGCATCTTGTTTAAAAGGCAAAGTGATATGCTTATAAATAAACTAATGTATGGTGTTAGTCTCTTAACTGAGCAAGGAAGTCCATATACCAAAAGAGAAAACCAGCAAGCAATTGGAACGAATCACACAGTTGCCGAAAGTGACTTTAGAAAACTTGTATGTCATTAGGTATTCCAAAGATGGATAAAGTTTTAACCACAAGTAAATAACTGACCTAAAATGAAATAAAGGCAAATGAAACACATTCCCCTTAATGTAATTAGTAATAGTAATTGATATGCTTCATCTCCTCAATATTGCTGTCAAGGGACAAGGGATCCATTTACAAAGTTACGTTCTGTTTAGACATCTTATGTAAACAGGATCCTTTCTGTTCAGATTTTTGTTGGTACCATAGGTAGATGATTTTCTATTTCTAGTTTTAAAAGATAGATAGTACCTTTGATTTTTACAGAACGGCCAAAATATATTTTCTTTGATTAAACCTGATGTTAAAAAAAAAAAAAAGAAAAAGAAACAGGATTTTGTTACAGTATTCCTCCTGTGGTTAATGAATTTATCTCAGGAAAAGCTTGATGGTTGTATTCACTGAATTCCTTAGGTTAGGGGTTAATTAAAAATTTGAGAATCCATTTGACATAAAGCCTTCATTTTCTTTATAGTTTTCCTGAGTTATCTTTGTTCTTTATTTGTGATAAAATGGAAGTGATGTTTCTTACAGTATTCTTACCTTCATAAGAATTAGTTAGACATGTTGAAGTATTGCTCCTAAGTCCTGTTAAAGGTTACATTATAATACGTTAAATAACTTTGTAGAAATAAAAGCTGATAAATAATAGTCACTACCCCTCTTTTTTAGTTTGTATTGATAGGCTCTAGGGACATTCAGATGAAGTTTCTTTATTTACTCTCTGGCAGACTCCAGGAGATGTGTGTTGTAAAGTTGTTGGAATTATTTCTGAAATTCACACATTAGAAAAACTGATGATGTAGCCCAAGTTTTCATAGTTCAGACCTTTGCAGTTCAAACAAAAACTTTGCTCTCAACTAAATAATGTGTTTAGTTGAAGAAAATGTGGATCATTGACAGCATTATTGAGATTAAGTATCCACCTTTCCATTCCATGCTTCCTTTGCATGATAAACCTGGTCCTCCTGGTTGTTAAAAGTTTTATGGTCTAGAAGTACAACTGTGCTTTTGATTTGTAAAATTTGAAGAAAATGTGGATCATTGACAGCATTATTGAGATTAAGTATCCACCTTTCCATTCCATTCTTCCTTTGCATGATAAACCTGGTCCTCCTGGTTGTTAAAAGTTTTATGGTCTAGAAGTACAACTGTGCTTTTGATTTGTAAAATAAAGGCAAATGCTTTTTATTTTTTTCACTTATTTTTAAATTTCCAGTGTTTTACTGTGTACTATTTTTAAATTTTCTTTAAGGAATAGTATAATTCTGAAATAGGAATAGTATAAAAGTTTAACTATCACTTTGCTTATTTTTCTCATTCTCAAGTCCTGTTGAACTTATCCATGATATGTTGTTTTTGAGATAGTGCACTTGCAAGTACAAGTTTTATTGTCTTTAGTAAATGAAAAGTAAGGTGTTTTTGTTTGTTTATTTGTTTTGTTTTTTGGCATGAATTTAGCTTGAATAAACATTCATTTTAAAATCCATTTGTAGCTGATCCTGAAATGCTCAAGAGAAAATTCATATTAATTCCAGTAACAGTTTACCTTGTGTAAGTAACTGCTGAATTAGTCTGAATAATGTTCTCTTTAGTTGATCAAATTATGTTCAATATACTCATTTTTATGCTTAGGTAAAAAATATGGCAGAACTGTTTAAAAAAAATTTCTTTGATTTTGGAAGCAAATGGATGACTTGCCATCATCTATTAGAATTCTAAGCACTAAGAAAACTAAGTATCAATTTATTTGTGTATGTGTATAATAGCACATATATTTTAGTGGAAATATATCTGCATAGTGATGCCAGCCACATTTAAGCATAATTTCTATAATATGGCTCTCCTGTCTATAACCAAAGACTCTTTCACAAGGCACAATGAATCTACATATAGTGAGATGTCTGTTACATTTGGCCTGATGTCACAGGCAAGAGGCTAATGGCAAATGGAAGTCAGCCATGTCTTTAGTCAAGAGGTATCTACTAAAGCAACATTACCTGGATATCTGGATGTCTATGAAATAAATAAGGAAAAGGTCATCCACTGATTTGATCTACAACGATTAGACACATTTGTATGGAAGTCCATGTATGACAATTTGAACCTTATCTGAAGCTTTATCCTAAATCAATTAGTGATTTAGATATAAGACCACAAAGCCAATTTAAAGATTTTAAGTAAATCATACAGTATGATCAATATAGCATAATCATTCTTTCTTTGTATCTTTCCTTGAGTAATTACATATCTCATAAGTGAAAAAGTGTGAATATGGTATATGTTAGAAACTCTCTCTGTGCATACATAGGGCCACAGACACACACATTTGTGTATATCAGCTATGGTGCCATTAGTCTTGTATTTCATTGCAATATTCATACATTGATGTGTGGAAAATGTGTAAACTTTAAACATACTCAAGGTTAAAATAAAATATACTATAATCAACAGCTTTATGTCTGTACCTAAAATCACTAGTGTCAGCACATTTTAGAATTAAAAGGTATCAACCAGTCACCTCATTTTATGTAAGAAGAGACTAAGCCCCAGCATGAAAAAGTAATTTGATTGAGATCCCAAAATTATCAGGGATACAATATGGACCAGAGTCCAAGTCATGGAATGTAGAATCCAGTGTTCTTTTTTATCTTATCATACTACCACTCAGAAAAAAACCTGAATTTTTGTAACTTTCTCTGTGTATGTTTCAATAGTGACAGAAATCTGTCGAGATTTACTTGTGCATTTATAACTCTATATTTGGCTATCAAGACTGACATTTTTTAATAGAATATAATTCTGCTTCAGTCTCCAGTTCTTATGTGTAAAATTATCTGGGAAATTATAATCCAAAATTTACAGATTTTTAAAAAGAAACTAATAGTTCTTTCCCTGTTATGTAAGAAAGCAATTGACACACATTAAAGTAACTTAACATGGTTGACAACATATATTCAACATGTTAACTGACAGACTTTTTAATTTTAACAGAAGAATAACAGACAGATAACAGATAAGTTCTTACCTAGCATTTAGTATATCCTCAATAAAAATGCATCTTTATAGAAAAGAATAAAAACATTATATACATTATATATGAAGCTATCTATGCATTCTAATTGGGATAATTTTTTACCTTTTCTACCAATATTGATAATTCCTTTTGGCTTCTGGGCTCCTTTGCATTTTGCCAACTGTGCATATGCATTTTAACCTTAATTGCATTCTTAAAACACAACTGTGAACTAATTTTTCCTCCTAATTTGTTTTCTAGAAAATTTTTAGAAGAATGTGACATTTTGTTATTTTTCAATGGGATTGCTTAGGCGGTTAACCAATCTAGTGTATTAGATTGTAAATTTACATAGTGATAAAATATAAATTATTAAATTTGTTAATTTCTAAAATAAAATCTGAACTATTTTATAAACTATATAGTGTGACAGAGTCATTGCTTCACCATAGCCATCAAGGCTATTAGACATTTTAACATGACTTTTTTCCTGGGAGGGGGTGGTGGTAGAGGTTATATAGGAAATATAGTATAATAATTGTTTAGAGTATTTATGTTTAAGGTGTATATAACCAATTTTTAGACTATGGCAAGGTTCTCCATTAATTTCTTTATTAGACTCTATAGAAATAGTAAGATCCGTTCACATATATATAGAGAGAGTAAGCTTTGCTTTTCTTTCTTCTTTTTTTTTAAAAGCCCTTAGAATCTTTTGTAAAGTAGGGAGTCTGTTGCAGTACATTACCCAGTGCTTTATTTAGCATTAGTGTTGTGGGAGAAATCACATTCCAAGAAGAATTGAGCTGAAACCACTAAACTAATCTTAATTATCACTTCTGGTGAATTAATGTTTTAAAGGTGGAATAAAGGTTTATTTTCAGGAATTTAGTGATGTTTGTATCGAGCTCTAATGCTGTGTACAAACAAAAACCTATTAAAGCTTTCAAGTAAGGTTTCTTTGACACGTTAACTTTTTTTTCCCTGATCGTATTTATTATTTACAAATACATCATTTGCAAATAAAATTTTTCTCCACTCCCAGCATTCCGATTGGGCATAAGACATTGGGGAAAATTTCTTCATTGCATTTTTTTTTTTTACCTGCATAAATCTTTATTTTCCTTCTTTCAGATACGTCTACATCCATACATTACTGTGTTTGGCTGAATTCCACTCTAAAATGATGCTCCATTATGCACCATACTGTGATGACCTTGCTACTGCGAAACCTGCTGGAGCCTGCCCTTGGCCGTGGGGTGTCAGCCAATCACTGCTTGTTCCACTTCTTGTGCATTTTATTTTCAAGGATTTTTTTCTTTCTTGTTTAAAGACAAGTAGTATGAAAATAAATAAACTTATAAAAGAAACAGTATTAATATTGAAATGTGCTACTAATAGATATTTAAGTCACCAGAAGTCCGTTCACAATGAGATGTTTGGCACCCATTGGGCTAAACAGTGAAGTCTAGAAAAATCCAAAAGCACGTTTCAACAATAATTTTAAAACCTTGGCTATGTGTGAACAAAAGGAAGTTAAGCTTATTACATGTTTGTCTATAATACATTAAATACTGACTTTGAATAAAAACCTAAATTGATGAATATTTTTAAGTGTTCTGTAATCACAGCTTTCTCCAGGCCAGTCAGGTAGTTGTTAGAGTAAAGGTTATCACACATGTAAACACGAGGACTTCGAGCAACATTTAAAAAAATATTGTCTTTGAAACACATTGGAGAGGTTAATTTTGTATTTACCACAGGCACTGCAATGGATTGATTTTTCTTTAATTTTGAAGTACTGACCAAAGTACCTATAGAATATTCAAGTTGTTTGGGTCAAATTCCTCAAGAAAGTGTAGACCTTTTCAGTTAGATTTACTGAAGTCATTGTAGTCACATTCAGGAGGAATGTGTAGCTTCCTGTTTTAGTGGACTACATTTATTGGAAGGCTATTCTATTTGATGTTAGATAATATAAACTCAAATAGCTTCCAAAAATTCAGCATTTTACAAATTGTTGAGAAAGTGAGTATAAGTGGTACTCTAGGTAAGTCAGGGGATCCTCTGGATGTACCCTCTACATCTGTGTGTTTGTATATTTATTTCTTTATTTGTTACGTTGTATGTATTTATGTGTCTGAAAATAAGTGTTCCGTATGTGAAATTTGATTTTATGATACGTTTACCACACCATCTGCCCTATTGAAACTTTTTACAGTTTTTGAAATATTGACCAAGAGTGCCAAATTCTCAAGATTTCCTAGTGAATCATTTCAGTATAATAACATTTTAAGAAAAATAAATAAATATTGGAAAGACAGAGTGCAAAGTAGTAGGATGCACTGTAACCTGTGTAAATCCGTGATACATACTTGAGGAGTTGTATTCTATTAGATGTTTATTTAATCTTACAAAAGGGAAATTTTCAGAAATATCATTGAGACTACAGTGAAATTTCTGAATAAATCTTAATTATTCTCAACCTCTCATTTTGTTTTGAAGACAAGGACCAGTGTAAGATGCTGGTGAAAAGAACTCTTACTACTCTCTGCTTCATGGAAATGCTTGTTTCCTCATCCCAAGTAGTAAACTTTGTTAGATATACTTAAAACGTGAATCCTGTAACAACTCACATCAACTGAAAAACAAACTGTTGAAAATTAAAGTCCAGAATTTTGGGTTAATTTGGAGGTGATTTTTATAGCTTCACAAAGAAGAATGTTCTAAGTAAGAATTTTGCAAACTCAGGTTGCAGCACACTCTTGGGATATGAATCAATGTGGGAGTCTCTACCACAATTAGAGAGGAATGAAATAAAATAGAAAAATTCAGAGTAAGTCACCATAGTCAAAGTAATATTGTCTTGTGCAGTTTTTGTTTCAGTTGTGTTTGTGTGTATGTGAATGTTCTGTTCTTGGTTGCTATGTAAAAAATATGTCTTATTGTGGAAGCAGTCAAAAAGGTTTGAGAATCACCGCAATAGACTGGGGTGGGAAGTTAGGGCTATTCACTATAACGATTGGAAAAACATAATAAATCAAAGCAAAAAAAATTGCTAACCCTTCCAGGGATTTTAGTGTAGTATTAAGTTGAATCAGAATGACCAACAGCATACTTATTACAGCAACATCTATCAAAAACAAAAAGCTTTTGAGAAGTCTGTTATCATCCCCCTGCTATTCTTGTTATTTATTTTTTTTTAAATCTTTCAACATGTGTGATTGGTTCACTGACCAGGCACAGGCTTCCACTGTCACTGTTCCCAATTGTGATTATCAACCTCAGTTTTCTTGTAATTTCTGGAAATTACTATTTAGGGAGGTGCCTGTGGACAAGTGGAGATAGACCCAGAGTAAACCACATATAATCCTATATATTTTAACATTCGTATATTTTATTTTCAACTGCAAGACTGTAATTAATTCCCCGTTACAAAAATCTAAGGAGGAATATGAGAATGCTAGAGACTGGTCTATTTAGAGCAGTTCATTAGTAAGTACATCTAATATCAGTGCTGGGTATGCAAAGAATAATAAAATAGAGTCTTTGCTGTCATGGAATTAATATACTATAAAGAAGATTACAGTGCAGAAAAATGATAGTTTATATTTGCATCGAATGTGTGTTTGCTCATTTGCTCCTCAGAACAATGCGTGATGAAGAGCTCCGTGATCATTTCTGAGGTGAGGGGTCTGAGGAGCTTTTTCGTGACTGCTGGAACTAGCTTAAGAACTTTAGAGAGTCTATTGAAAAATATCCAGTCAGAATTCAACAGTACAGAAAGCATTTGAGGGAAGTTGCGAAATTTGTGTTTTTGAATACATTATATTTTCAGACATCTCTGGGTGAAATCTTCCCAGAAGAATTCCTTAGAACATGCCCAGACTTTCAAACTTTTTGCAGACACAAACTGCACTTCATACTACCAGAAAAAAAGAAAATGCATGCAGGTTGAATTTGGAGATCTAATACGTTGACTGGATGTGTAAACCACAGCCTTGTATGTGATTTAAAAAAAAAAAAAAAAAAAGAACAACTCAAAAACTAGGCAAATTGCTTTAAACCTAACTTTATTTTTTAGTTTATCTTCAGAAAACCTACCAAGGTATTTAGGAAGTGATTCCACAGTTTGATTCTCTCTCTGTGAATAATTTTCTATGTCACTTTGCAAAACACTTTTTTTTTTGATATGTGTGATCTTTTTAAACCATTTATTTTATAGAGAATGTATTGTTTTGCTCTGTCTTTATACACAGTGCAAGGCTTTGGGGTGGAGATAAAATTGACTAGAACGGGTCCCTACTGTCATAGGTAGGATAGTACAAAAATGTACATAAAGCGGGAATACATGAGGCTGAGGGGGAATGTCCCCAAATTTGGCTTGTCCATCCAAGTATTCCCAGTGCCTAGTAGGGTGGCTGGCATATGCTCATAAAAATTTGTCAGAGAAATGAACTAAGAGCCTGGGGTTTGGTGCTAGGTAGCCATATTGGATGGACCACTGAAGTATGGTGTGGCCAGTTGGCTATCAGGCTCTGAGAGCTTCCTAATTGTTATTTTTTTTTTTTCCCCTGCTGGGTGAGTGCCTCCAGGATGAAAGGCAGCCTGCTGTGTTAGCTGGAGTCCCTGCCTTCTCTGTAAGGTGTATGACCCTTGTTTATTAGCTGTTTATTTAATCTTACAAAAGGGAAATTTTCAGAAATAACATTTGAGACTACAGTGAAATTTCTGAATAAAACTTAATTGTTCTCAACCTCTCATCTTGTTTTGAGCGCAAGGCCCATTGTAAGAAGCAAATGAGCAATTCTCTGATTTCCCCTCTTTGCTTTTTCTCCTTAATGGTGTTGTAAACACCAAACACTCAAAAAAGACAAACTGAAGCAAATATGGAAGGCAAGTTAGGGTGGCACTGGTCATACTGTAGTAGACTTTTGACATATTTTGAGGGGTGTGAAGAAGAAACATGCAAACAAAAAGGGTTTTGGTATTTTTCTGAAGATTCTTCTCTGGAGAGAAAATAAATAATAGGTATGTCCAAACACATGCACAAATCTCTGTATTCACCAATTTATATACTCCTGCAGATATTATTCGTTCGCTGTGCCAACCCATGTTCACCGACAAAGTTTCCATTTTCAGTCAGCCCCATGGCAAGCAGTCATTCCTAAAGACGAACGCTAGCCCATCTATGAGGAGAATTGTGTACTTGGTTTATTAAAGAAAGAAGTCTAAAAGAGGAAATGTGCCTGTACTTGAGAGCAATGATCAGTGAAGTAGAAGCAGAGAAATGCCTTGCAACTCAAAACAGTAGTGAGGAGAATTGTGTACTTGGTTTATTAAAGAAAGAAGTCTAAAAGAGGAAATGTGCCCGTACTTGAGAGCAATGATCAGTGAAGTAGAAGCAGAGAAATGCCTTGCAACTCAAAACAGTATTTCCAATAGAGCCAGCAATATTCTAAGGAGCTCCTCTTTTAAAATGTAAATGACTTCTGAGGAGTTGCGTTCAGCCTTTAGCTCACCTGGGTATAAATTGCTTTAAGCAGATAACTAGGTCAGCACCTCACGAGGATCAATAGTCCTTAAGAATGGGAATTTTGATTAGGGCCTTGAGGAAGGAAGGACAGCCCTTCAGTAGCTTAGAAGACAGAGCTCTGTTAAGGCACCGAGTGTCTGTAATTCCAGTATGGAGAGGACTAAGGGAGATAGGGTGGGATTGTATCAGAAAAGGATGTTCAGGGCCAACTGACAAAGGCAAATGACTGTGGCTTTGAATTTTGGCCCAGGGCTCTGGTAACCATAGGGATGTCAGTAAATATCATGGCTTGATGTGATTGCAAGATTAGTGTGAAAACGTAGGAAGCTTCCACTTCCCCCCATTTAGACCAAGGGTTTTGTTTTGTTTGGGTTTTGGTTTTCAGTCTAGAATATCCATTCCCGCTGTTCTGTCTCTATTCATTTTCTGCTCCTGTACTTTTGGGAGAAAAAGAAGAACACAAGGGAAAAAGAAAGTCCAAAAACCATATGGCAGCATAGCCACCTTTTCCCTCCTATTATTATCAGACTAGTGTAATAAAAATATTTGTCACTTATTGACACATTATTGTCATTCCGTTGTTTCTTCTCCTAGTTTAACTTGAAGAAGCTGAGACATAATGAGGATAATAAGGCTATGTTTTTCACTGTTGGAAGAAACTTCAAAAAATACAAATGACAAAAATCTGTAGAATGTTCAGCGCAGATCAAATGTAAAACCTACCCCTTCTCCCACATTCTGGCTGGGCAGACTAAATATATCAAGACTTTGAGAGAGAATAGATTTCACTTAATTAGCTGTAATCTTTTAGTAAAACAGTAAAGATTAAAAGGAATTAAAACTTTTAATTTTAAAAATATTGTGGTTATTTCATAATGTGGTGCTAGGCTGTGTTAACCGAGTGTAATAGATGTGTGATTTTATCCTGCGTAAATGTCATTTTAAATGCAGATTTGCTTGCTCCATTCTCAGAAATTCAGTTCTGGTAGGTCTGTACTACAGTCTAGAAACTTGATTTTTTAACTCCCCCCCCCTTCTCAATTCTGATTAAAAATTCTAGG